AGTAGTTTATTAATATTCGCGACTTTAACTAAAAAAATTTAGTTGACAAAAAAAAAACTAAAACAACTTATATTTTGAAACGGAGGGATTATATCTTTTCATTTTTTATCCCGTTGAATATTTTGTTAATCATGCCTACTGTTTTTGTAATTAACTTAACACATAGCAAAGATAAAAAAAGTCGTTCGATTATTTTTAAATTATTTACTAGTATTAAACTTTTTACTATAGTAAAAGTTCCAAAAATTATTGATTTGTGTAAATAATTTTGGATTTTTTCAGACAATACAGATTTTATAGCAAATTTTATATATTAAAAACTAATAAAATCTAACAATTCTCTACGAAACATTGATTCTTTATATTTGAAAGAAGTTTTTACGGGTTGTATACATCGAAATATTGAAACCACGTTAACATTACTACAAAATAGAGGTAATTTGGTTATCAACTATATTTTTTATATCCATTGGACGATTAAAAATTCTAAATTAAAAATGAACCAATTTAAATGGCGTAAAAATCCATGAATTGTTATATTGGTTAGACGAATAGTTATGGTTCCAATCCGTAAAATGAGTGAGGAAGGAAAAACGTTTTTTATGTGAGCCAAGGGTTACGTTTTATCATATAACCGATTTTATAAGAGTTGCATTTTCAATATAACCGCTTTATGGTTATTTAAGGTTGTGTCTTTTCGGAAATAACCGTTTAATGGTTATTTTCAAGGGTTGCATCTTTTTATATAACTGTTTTTAAGAGTTACGTTTTTTTCGATATAACCGTATAATGGTTATTTCCAAAGGTTACATCTACTATATAGATAACCGCTTTATGATAGTGTTCTTTCGAAAATAACCGTTTTATAGTTATTTCAAAAAATTGCGTCTTTCTGGAAAAAAATCGTATATTGTTATTTTGAAAGATTTCGTTTATTCAATATAACCGCTTTATAATTATTTCTAAGAATTGTCTTTTTTTTATATAACCTCTTTTTCAAAAGTTGCATTTTTTATATAACCGCTTTATGGTTATTTAAGATTGTTTCCTCTAGAAAAAAACTGTTTTATGGTTATTTTCAAGAGTTGCGTCTTTTTGATATAACCGTCTTCTAATTATTTCCAAAGATTGCATTTAATATGTATATAACCGCTTTATGGTTGTGTTTTTTCAAAAATAATCTTTTTATCGTTATTTCCATAGGCTTCGCATTTTCAATATAACTGTTTTGCGGTTGTATCATTTCAAAAAGTAACCGATTTCTAAAAATTGCGTATTTTCAGTATAACCACTTTATGGTTATTTTCAAAGGTTGCATTTTTCGGAAAAAGAACGTTTGACATATATTTATGGTTTTTAATGTTAGGGTTGCATCTTTTCAAGATATTCCATTTACAGTTATTAATGTTTTTAGGATTGCGCCATTTCGAGAAAAATATTTTATGGTTTTTTAACTCTATAGTTGCATCTTTTCAAAAAACACTGCTATATAGATTTGTGTTTTTCAAACTCTATATTTTTGTTTCATTGAACATTTTTTAATTTATGATTCCTAACTTTAAAATTCACTCAAAACATGATGTGATAAAAAAAACGTCAAAAACTATTTTAGAGTCTCACAATATTTTGTTTTTTTATTTAAATAATAATTTTAGAAATTTTTTGAAGGATCACGTCTATCAATAATAACAATCTTGGAAAATATATTTTAGGGTTGTTTCTTTTAAAAAATAAATATTTTATGGTTATTAACGCTAGAGTTGTGTCTTTCCAGAAAAAATGTTTTATGGTTAATAGTGTCTTTTTTAGGGTTAAACATTTTTGAAACAAAAAAAGTTTATGCTTATTAGTGTGTCTTAGGTTGCGTCTTTTATAAAAAATTGTTTTACGGTTATTAATATTTCTTAGGATTGAGTTTTAAAAAAAAATGATTTTTGGTTATTAATCTCTAAGCGTTGCATTTTTTAGATTTTTTTATGGTTAGCAATGTTTTTGAAAACTGTGGCTTTCTAAAGAAATCGTTTTATAGTTATTAATACATGATTTGATTGCGTCTTCTAAGTAAAAACCAGGTTGTGGTTATTAATACATCCTGAGGTTGCGTTTTTTTGAGAAATTTGGTTTTATAGTTATTAAAGCATACTAGGTTTGCATCTTTTTTGGAAAAAATTGGTTTATGTAAAAATATATCTTCTCAAAAAAGGTTTTGATAGTTTACATTCTAGGTTATTAATGTTAGGGTTTCGTCTTAAAAAAAAAAGTTTTATAGTTGTTATTGTCTCTTAGGTTTGTGTCTTTTTGAAAAAATCATTTTTAGTTATTAATGTCTCTTAGGGTTGCTTCTTTTCGAAAAAACTGTTTTATGGTTATTAATGCATTTTAAAGTTGTATTTCTGA